GGGGGGGGGGGGGGGGGGGGAAAGTCCGGACATTTACAAATTCCCCCCGGACACTATTTTTAGCTCAAAAAGCCGGACATGTCCGTGGGAATCCGGACAAATGGTAACCCTAGAGAGACTGTGTTTCTGCTCCTGGCTCCCAAGCTGAGTCTGTTTAGGGCGTGGCCACAACTGTGGCTGCCTCCCAATCAGCCCAGCCTAAGTCTCCCAGCCCCAGCCCTCTCCAAGGGCTGGCTTTTAACCCCGTTACAGTAGCCATCGCTGGCAGTGTGTGCATGCTTGCATGAGCGAGAGAGGAAAAAAAAGGTCTTCAAGGTGAACCCCAGACACTGAATATGAGCACACTATGATAGGACCAGAAAGGAACAGAAACTGAGGCTCATACTATTACAAAGCAAGATCAAGATGATTAATTTTCTTTCAAGTTCCAAACCATTAGAAATATTGAAAACACGGTGCACTGTCCCTGAGCAGTGATGTTAATGGAATGGTCCTTAGCAAAGGAGGTTGGTAGGTGTGAAGTAGCTAGCTAGATATTTCTCTCACTTGATGCTAATCAGGCACATACGCTAGTTTACATAGTGAGATGTTCCTTTCACCCTGTCCCCCTCCAACAGTTCACTCAGTTGTTGCATCTTGTCTTAAATTCGATTGTGAGCTCTCTGGGGAAGGAATTGTCTCCTACTATGCATTTGTACCAAGCATGATAGGAACCCGGTTATGACTGAAGTTTCAGGGGTCACTATGTGATACACATAATTTTACAGCTGAGGAAACTGAGGCACAGAGAAGTTAAGATACTTGCCTGCATTCACCGAGTGAAGCTCAAAGTAGAGATTAGAACCCAAGAGTCCTGATTAGGGCTGTTGATTTCATCACAATTAACTTACATGATTAACTAAAAAAAAAATCATGATTAATCACAGTTTTAATTGCACTGTTAAACAATAGAATGCCCATTGAAATTTATTAAATATTTTTTTGTTTTTCTACATTTTCAAAAATATGATTTCAATTATACAAAGTGTACAGTACTCACTTTATATTATTTTTATTACAAATATTTGCACTATAAAAATGATAAACAAAAGAAATAGTATTTTTCAGTTCACCTCATACAAGTACTGAAGTGCAATCTCTTTATCGTGAAAGTGCAATTTACAGATGTAGATTTTTTTTTTGTTACATAACTGCACTCAAAAACAAAACAATGTAAAACTTTGGAGTCTACAAGTCCACTCAGCCAATTGCTAAGAAAAACAAGTTTGTTTACATTTACGGAAGAAAATGCTGCCCATTTCTTATTTACAGTGTCACCTGAAAGTGAGAACAGGCGTTCGCATGGCACTTTTGTAGCTGGTGTTGCCAGGTATTTACTTGGCAGATATGCTAAACATTCGTATGCCTCTTCATGCTTCGGCCACCATTCCAGAGGACATGCTTCCATGCTGATGACACTCATTTAAAAAAAAATGTGTTAATTAAATTTGTGACTGAACTCCTTGGGGGAAAATTGTACGTCTCCTGCTCTGTTTTACCTTCATTCTGCCATATATTTCATGTTATAGCCGTCTCCGATGGTGACCCAGCACATGTTGTTCGTTTTAAGAACACTTTCACTGCAGATTTGGCAAAACGCAAAGGTACCAATGTGAGATTTCTAAAGATAGCTACAGCACTTGACCCAAGGTTTAAGAATCTAAAGTGCCTTCAAGAATCTAAGAGGGACGAGGTGTGGAGCATGCTTTCAGAAGTCTTAAAAGAGCAACACTCCGACACAGAAACTACAGCACCCGAACTACCAAAAAAGAACATCAACCTTCTGCTGGTGGAATCTGACTCAGGTGATTAAAGTGATCTGCATCGGTCTGCACTGCTTTCGATCATTATCGAGCAGAACCTGTCATCAGCATGGAAGCATGTCCTCTGGAATAATGGTTGAAGCATGAAGGGACATATGAATCTTTAGCGCATCTGGCATGTAAATATCTTGTGATGCCGGCTACAATAGTGCCATGCAAATGCCTGTTCTCACTTTCAGGTGACATTGTAAACAAGAAGCAGGCAGCATTATCTCCTGCAAACGTAAACAAACTTGTTTGTCTGATATCAGAGGGGTAGCCGTGTTAGTCTGGATCTGTAAAAAGCAACAAAGAGTCCTGTGGCACCTTATAGACTACATCTGTTAGTCTATAAGGTGCCACAGGACTCTCTGTTGCTTGTTTGTCTGAGCAATTGGCTGAACAAGAAGTAGGACTGATTGGACTTATAGGCTCTAAAGTTTTACATTGTTTTATTTTTGAATGTAGTTTTTTTGTACATAATTCTACATTTGTAAGTTCAACTTCCATGATAAAGAGATTGCGCTACCGTACTTGTATTAAGTGAATTGAAAAATACTATTTCTTTTGTTTTTTACAGTGCAAATATTCATAATCAAAAATAAAGTGAGCACTGTACACTTTGTATTCTGTGTTGTACTTGAAATCAATATATTTGAAAATGTAGAAAACATCAAAAAATATTTAAAGAAATGCTATTCTATTCTTGTTTAACAGCGCGATTAATCACAATTAATTTTTTTAATCGCTTGACAGCCCTAGTCCTGACGCACAAGCCTGCTGCTGTAACCAATGGACAATGCTGCCTCTAGTGGATTTCTAATTCAGGGGGTTCTTAACTTTGCAAACAGATGTTTCAGGTGCTTTCTAGATATCAGTAAATGGTTTAAACTGCAGTTTACTTGTTACCTGCCAGCAGTTGTTACTGCTGAATTCTCATAGGCAGGGTGGTGGTTGCTTTAGCCTTTGAACTTTAATCCCCTGTCCCTCATCCCCTTCCTGCCTAGCAAAAATAAAATAATAAACGTTGCAACCATCTCAGCAAAAATAGGTACAACAAAGTCTCACGCATCATTATTCAAGAGAAACACCTGGTGTAAAACCTGTGAATTTCTGACCCTGTCTGTCAAATGCTGTGGGCTGACAGCAGTCAGAGAAGGAAAATGCTCTAACTGCAAACAGCACAGTCGAGGCAACTCCTACAAATTAGATTAATAAATCCTACTGTGCTTTCAAACAGCCGTAACTCACCCAGCTGGAGATTTAAAATGGTGAAGCAGCAGCGTAAACAGTGTGTGTCTCCACCTTAGGTGGAATCTTACAACTGCCTGTAGCAAACACATTGAACTCTTGGGTGGGTTTCTGGTTGGTTTGGTGGTGGGGGTGGAGGGGTACTGTTGGGGGGGTGAGGGAGATTGCAGTTAATTTTTAAGAGACACAGAATTTACTGAAGGACTACCCCAAACTGTAGCTCTTAACTTTGGGTAGTAAATGTGTCCCTAGCGGCTGGCTTTTCAAAATATTCAAATTTATCCTTAGCACTTCGACCACCACCATTCAGGTGCTGATTTCTTAATTAAAAAGAGAAGGGAAGGGAGAAATATCTGAATGTTGGGTTCAGATGTCTCCTAGAGGAACTTCTTCATGTTCATGCAGGTTGAAAATGACACTTTGTGGGATCTGCTCTTCCTTTGTTTAACTCTCTTAAGCAAAATGGGAGCGTTCTAACTGGCTCTCATGGATATCAATTACACTGTAGCGGCTACTGGTAAATCACAAAGGATCTCTGATTACAGCCTGGTACAACTTGAAGTAAGGGAGGCAGCAAAAATCGTTTTTGAAATGCACATGGCTGGACTGGTAGCAACCCTGATATCAGCACTAGTTGGGTTTTTTTTAGTTGTGTTCATCTGTAATTGAGTTACGTTAAAGGCATAACAGAAATAAATGAAGCAGTTGTACAAAGGCACTGGACGCTTTGGATGAACTAGATAATGGTTTGGTATTTTACAGAGGCAAGAATTGGAATCGGAGAACAAGAGACTGAAAAATGAACTGAATGAGCTGAGGAAGACTATTGTAGACCGGGTGACCCAAAACAACTCATCCAGTGATATCCAGGACAGTTATACCCTCTTATTAAACCAGCTTAAATCAGCCAATGAGGAACTGGAAGTGCGGAAAGAGGAGGTGCTTATCCTAAGGGCACAGATTATAAAGGCAGCCCAGCAAAAAGACACTGGCAAAAATATGGTAATTAAAAGGGGAAATCTTGTTCTTTTCATTTCCGCTCCTATCACTGACTATTCATTACCTGTCCTGATTTCATGAAAGATGATGCTTTTGCTTTGGTAAATTGTAGGCAACAGTAGATGGTTATCTGAAACTTCCCCTGTGATCTTGTGTAACATTTGAAAGGGGTAAGATGACAGGAAAACAGGTTTTAGGCCAGGTTTTGCTCTCGTGCACGGGGGTGTAAAGCAAAATAACTCCATTTACACCCGGGTAATCGAGAGCCAAACTTGTCCCCTGGAATTTATGTGAGGGTTTTTTTCCTGCTTCTGTTTAAAGCAAGTCTGTTATGTATAAAAATCCCCCCTCTCCAGCATTTGGAGTTTTAAATTTCCACTTCATTTTCTCAAGGTTTTAGCACCTTCCATGCTTCAGACCATGATCCCAAACTCTCTCATCCGCAAACCGACAGTGTGCGCCCTCGATCTGTCATCGTTACTGAGGCCGACTCTCACCTGCATGAACCCCACAGACTCCTCCCTTGTCCACATAAGGCAATAGGCCCAGAATAGGCCCTCCAGGAAAGGCCATTAAACACCCTCTTAGCATGCAGAGTTTGAAAGACTTGAATGAGACCCAAGGGATTTCATGATGATGATGTTGTTCTGCATGTGAAATTTAGGACTCAAACATCAACACGTATACCAGCTGGCCAAACAGCGACAAGCATGTCGATGCAGAGGATGCAATTGAGGCCTACCATGGGGTGTGTCAGACAAATCGGTAAGTGCGTCTTCATTGATCTTTACAGCAAAGGTGGGCCTAGGCCACGAAGCATAGATTCAGATCTGAAGTAAGATCTGGATGGTGGGGCACTGTTGGCTTTCGGTGTCTGATTTGGGCCTGTTAGAGAGAGAAAGAGCTGTGAAGTTGGGAGTAGGATCCAAAGCTCAGAGGATTGGGTCCGCCGCTCGCTGAAGGAGGGGAAGCACCGAGCAGGTGGAACAACCAAAGGTTGTAGAGAGAAAAATAAATGCCCACCTAAGCTGAGTTGCCCCCCACTACATGGGCTTCCATACTGCAGAAGCTGGGCAGTGCACTACAGTGGAGTCCAGAAACTGAGCAGTGCACTCCTGCAGTGTGGCAGCCAATGGAGTTGAAGGACTGAGAGATTTTAAATATAAAAATCTTAAATCCAGCCCTGATATAGCAGCAAGAGTAGAATATGGCTTATATTTTAGAGAAGAATTATGAGTTAGTCGTTTCAGACACTCTTAATGTCATGCTGGGAAGTCGGTTGTTAGGAGAATGCCTGTCCCATTTCCCTAGAGGCAAAAAGTCTGTTCCAGTGAAATGAGCTAATGTACACATCTATGCAGTCTCAGGCATCACCCACATTATCTGCTATTTTTGTATCTAAACTCTGAGCCAAGAATCCTCTTTGATTACAGATTTCCTATAGTGATAGTTCATACCCTGAATTTGTCTGTCTTCATCATCATCATCAATCATCATCATCATAACAATAATAGAGTTTATACTGTTATTGAGAAATTCACTTTGTGGAACTATCCAGGAGTACATAAAATATATAGATAATATCTTGTGACGAGACAAGTTAATAAGTGAATTAAATGTTTATTTTACTGCGAGAAAATTGAATATTTGCTTGTCTCTACCTGGTTATCTGACAGGAATAGGGTTTTTTTCCCATTGCAAATTTTCATTTACCCGGTATATTAATGAGACCTAACTGTTGCAGAGTTTGACTAATGGTTTCTATTAAAATAGTTTACCTAGCTAGTTTGTAAACTCTGGCAGATGAAAGCTCTTTCCTTTTCCACCAGGAAAAGAAATTCATAAAATCTGAGAGGAGAATTTCTCTCCATTTAAAGGTGCAGTACACACAAGACAAATGGTAACAATACTATCTAAATGCCCACATGGGCAAGAAGAGATCTTCTCTGTTCAGTGGAGCAGAGCTGGCACCTTTCATCAGCACCACTGAAAATGGTCCTAGTTGGAGCTAAACTAAGTGAAGTTTGTGAGTTTGATGTTTCAAAATTCCTTTAAGATTTTATTCAGAGAAGATGGCAGTGCTTACATTGCACTTTGACAAATGAGTGTGGTGTAAACATTAACTAACTAATCTGCTTAATTAAAGAAGAGTGGTCCTATTGACTTTTTAATGAATCAGTCAATCTGAACTTCTGGGTGAAAGAACCCTCAGTGGTTTTGAGTCAATACCGTACTGATGAATCCAGGCTAAATGCTTATTGCCTATTATTCCCAAAGCGGTTTTCTCTTAAGATAATGGCACCCCTTTGAGTTGATTTCATAACTGACCACATTTTAATATGGATAAAAAATAAAAACAGGAGGAGGGAAGGATTTTTGTCTTGCAAGAACATCAACTGGGAAAAATCACCGTCCAGTCAGAATTCTCCTGTTAGTAGTGTGCAAATAATAATAATTAATAAACAGTGAAGGCAATCATTTATTTGTTTGTCAGTGTTTAAATGTCCCAGTGCTGAGCCTCTAACCACAAGCATGGTAACAAAACGGTATTTATAACGACAAATTGACCCGAGTCAATCAAATAAACTTTATAACTCAGCTGGCTATTCCACCTCTGGAAGAAATCAGAGTAAGACAATATTTTCAAATTGATAGATGTCCAGAGTTACGGTTTTAAATGCATATGTAAGCACCTAAATAAAGGCAGTCTGTGCCTAGCAGTACTGAGGACCTAAGCTCGCAGGGACGATGATCGAGCTGAGAATAAAGGCCACTCTTATCTAGGCACCTAAATATGGATTGAGAAAACTAACTTTAGGCACCAAAGTTTAGAAAATATTTGCCATAGGCCTGAAGAACTCCGGATATTCTTCCATAGGTGGACTTTATATATGGCTTGAAAGCAGAGCACATAGAAAACAACTCTGAACACTGGCCAGTGTATCTAATCTGTGCTTCATTTCCAGAGCTCAGACATTAGCATTGCTGTGAATTAGCTGTGAGATGGAAGAGCATTCATGGTAATATGCATATGTAGACATTCCCTTTCTCACACTAGTACCCTTCTATACTCCTCCTGCAACAACAAGAAATACCTCGTAACCTGGGGTGGCCGGTGGGATGATAGACTCACGTAATTGTGTTAAGGCTTATCAACTTGGCTAAAAGGAAATAAATAGCTTTTAATGCTCCCACCAATTTTAGGTATAAAATCTCTGTGCACCTAGAAAATTAACTCCTTTGAAGAGTGAATCTGTAGAAACGACATCTTGGGGTTGGATGTTCTTTCAATGACTCCAACTCGAATTATTCAACTTACAAGTTTAAAAAAAAAAAAAAAAGGCTTGGATTTTTTTTCAGCCAGCTTTCCAAACTCAAGCTGGTGCTGAAAGTCAGGCTGGGTTATTTACTGATATATGCTTGCTTCATCTGCAAGAAACCTGACTCAGCTCAGATGTATTAGATGACTGATGTGCAATTCAGGTGCTTGACTGTCATATCCAAGGCTGAATATAGAGAGCTGTCAGGGAAAAAAAATAATTTTTCTTGTAAACTGAGCAAAATTGATTTGGAAATCATTGAGAGAGGATAACCATGGGCTCCATAATGCCATTTCTCCAGTGTCACTTTGCAGAGTAGACTCACACTTTGTGTGTGGTTTCCATTTGAGAGTGGCACATCTGACTCCCATCCCTCCCACCCCTTTTGAGAGTTACCTACAGAAAGGAAATCACTTTCAGTTAAAAGATAGGGCTTTTCCTTGCAGCTGGGTGGCTCCTGCTACAGCGTTTTATATAGCACAGAATGTATCTCTTTAGTGGCTCACTTTTCTTTGAAACTCAAACCGTCAAGTGAATTTTATTTTCCTTTTTTAAAGACCTTCAAACTCACTTTGGAACTGAAGTGACATGAATCATGTTATAACAAATGTTTCTTGGCCAGATTACAAATCTCATTTTATTCATTTGTAAAATGTCCAGACACCTCATTTAAAGTTATACGAGCTCTCTTCATTTTGTCATTAAAACTGATTGCTTTTTTCAATAATTAAAAAAAGACCGCTAATGCGCAACTTACATAAGAACGGCAGTATTGGGTCAGACCAAAGGTCCATCTAGCCCAGTATCCTGTCTGCCGACAGTGGCTAATGCCAGGTGCCCCAGAGGGAGTGAACCTAACAGGTAATGATCAAGTGATCTCTCTCCTGCCATCCATCTCCACCCTCTGACAAACAGAGGCTAGGGACACCATTCCTTACCCATCGTGGCTAATAGCCATTAATGGACTTAACCTCCATGCATTTATCCAGTTCTCTTTTAAATGCTGTTATAGTCCTAGCCTTCACACCCTCCTCAGGTAAGGAGTTCCACAAGTTGACTGTGCGCTGTGTGAAGAAGAACATCCTTTTATTTGTTTTAAACCTGCTGCCTATTAGTTTCATTTGGTGACCCCTAGTTCTTGTATTATGGGAATAAGTAAATAACTTTTCCTTATCTACTTTCTCCACATAACTCATAATTTTATATACCTCTATCATATCCCCCCTTAGTCTCCTCTTTTCCAAGCTGAAAAGTCCTAGCCTCTTTAATCTCTCCTCATATGGGACCCTCTCCAAACCCCTAATCATTTTAGTTGCCCTTCTCTGAACCTTTTCTAATGCCAGTATATCTTTTTTGAAATGAGGAGACCACATCTGTACGCAGTATTCAAGATGTGAGCGTACCATTGATTTATTTAAGGGCAATAATATATTCTCCGTCTTATTCTCTATCCCTTTTTTAATGATTCCTAACATCCTGTTTGCTTTTTTGACCGCCTCTGCACACTGCGTGGACATCTTCAGAGAACTATCCACGATGACTCCAAGATCTTTTTCCTGATTTGTTGTAGCTAAATTAGCCCCCATCATATTGTATGTATAGTTGGGGTTATTTTTTCCAATGTGCATTACTTTACATTTATCCACATTAAATTTCACTTCTACAACACTGGTGAGACAAGATTTTTCTGGGCACCTTTTTATCCAGAATGATATGGGTGAATTAGAGGGAATGCAGAGAAAAGTAACAATAAAAAGATTGAGGGGTTCAAGGGATGGTTTTGAGGAAAGATTGAAAGAACTTGGCATGTACAGCTTGCCTTGGTGACTAAGAGGGGCTATTCTAATAGAGTAGAGGAATTGGTAGGATGTAAATGCAAAGATGGGAGATAAATCGTTTTGAGTGGTATAAGTAAGCATAGAAGGGATGAGATTGAGCAAAGGAAAATGAGGCTATCAAGAGAATGTTCCTAATAGTGAGATCTATCACACTGTAGGATGGTCTCCCAAAGGAAGCGGTGGAAGTGCTAGTAACTGAGTTGTTTTAAAATTGGACTGGACAAAGAAGTGAAGAATATATTGTACAGGGCAATCCTGTATAAGCAGAGGGAGAGAGGAAAAGACTAAATAATCCTTTCATTTCTTCAGTGTCTTTGATTCTCTCTCAGCAGATTTGAAAAGACACTCCTCCTTTGAAGTAAGAATGGAAAACACCATAAAAGGACCATCGGGCCCTTACCTGCCCAGGCTTGGTTAATCACAATCCCACTTCTTGCTTTCCTCACTTAAAGAAGGGGAGAAATCTCATGTAGAAAACCAGTAATTTCCAACATACTGGAGAATGGGGAAAGAATTGAGACCTAGGCTAGACTTACAGGTTTTGGCAGCATAGCAGCATCAGGAGAGTGAAAAATTGCACCTGTAACTGTCATATGTACGTCAACAA